TTTTATAGCTTTAAAAAAAAATCACATTCAGTTATTATTTGTCTCTTTCTAGGCACTGCCAAACATCAATGTGGAAAGTTTCTGCCTTTACAGTCAATCTTGGAAATGCAAGTTCAGTGACAAATTTTTCTTTTTCAAGTCTCAAAGCAAAGGACTAGATTTTCTGGAGCAAATTCACTAAGGCACAGTAGAAGAAATGTAAAAATCCCACATTTTTACTTTAGCTAATACATGGGAAAATATTATTGACATACACATTTGTTCTTTATATTTACAGCTGTCTTCCATATTTCCTTCACTTTTAATTCCTTAAATATGTAAATATCAATCACAATATCCAAAGTTTGTCTCATTTACAAATGGAATAATTAATGGTGACTTGTAGAGAACTGGTAGTTGGACTTTGGTGCCATGTACAAAATACCTTTAGAGTTTACGGCCATACCACCCTGAATGCAACTGATCTTATCTGATCTGGGAAGCTAAGCAGGGTCCGGCCTGGTTGGTAGTTGGATGGGAGAGAGTGTCTTTAGAAAGTTGGTGAGAAAACTCTAATATTAAGAGTTGGGGCTGGGGACGTCGCTCATTGGTAGAACACTTGCCTAGCATGCAGAAAGCCCTGGGTTCACTCTCCAGTGCCACAAAAGAATGAAAAAAAATAAATAAAGGGCTGAGGATTTAGCTTAGAGGCACTGCACCTGCCTCACAAACACAATGTCTTAAGTTCAATCCACAGTACTGGGAAAAATATTTTTTTAAGTTGCAATGAAGGGTTAGAGATTTATTACTAGATGATTTTAAATTTTTTGTTGGCTTTGTTTGAATATCCTATTAGACTGCATTCTTAACCCAAACTCTAAATATGCTGGGATTAAAGGAATATTTATTAGAGTTAAAAATTACCATTCCCACTAGGAGAATTTGTAAAAGTAGGTTGGATGGCAGTGCTTCTCCTGCTCACACAAATTTAATAGTGTGCAAAGCTTTAAGGAAAAAATCTCAACTCATTCTCTAATTTTCCACTACTAACTTACAAAATCTAAGTCACTTGTGAAATACTGATTTCCTCTGACAGGATTCAGCCTTCCTAATCTCAGACCTCTGTCTTACATAGTGACAAAAGAAATGTGCAGTAACACTGGTCAGCCGTTAATGCTGGGGGAAACAAAGAACTGGCCCATGAAGACTGGCTGAGCATTCCATCGAATTCCATTCTTCAAGCATTTCCCCCGCCAGCCATTCTAATGTGCCAGCTTCAGGCTCCTAGATAGTTTGACTCACAGCAACAGAACTGAATCAGTAGTCTGATTATGGGCAGCATCTGTGCTACTTTACCTGTGGGCACAAAAAATGTTTCCCAGTGTGAATAAGGTACACTGTAGTACAAGCTCAGCAACACAGTAAGTGCTTAAGTGCTGATGATTATTATTAGTTGACACTGAAAGTGGGAATAAAAGTTTATTTAAATCCTGGAAATGAAAGCTAACTGCATGCTTTAGTATCAGCATTTGATGATAAGACTGAAGTAGTCTCAGAATCTCAAGGTCAGCATTCTTTCAACAAACGTACACTGAATACCTAATAATTTCCCTTTATTTCATGAGTATGTCTGCCCTGCCAGGAAGGACTGAAGGTGATTGACTTCTATTACACTCCAAGTTCTGTGCAAGGTATTGGAAACACAAGAATAAGATACATTCCTCATCCTCCTGCATCTCATTTCTCAGTAACATGAGTTTCTAGGGGAAAAAAAAGTCCTCCCAACCACTGGATTTGAATAGAAATTAATCTCTTTTCAAATAAGAAAGGTTTTAAATTAAAAGAAAAAGTTCTTAAGGATCACGGGTCCCAGTAATAATGTGGAAAGATAGAAAGTAGAGAATAAAAAACCCCACAATAAAACCGTTCAGATAATATTCAATATGAACAAGGTGCTAACTTTTGATAAGAAATAATTAATACTATGTTGACAAGAGCAGGTGGAGGTTTAATGTTCCCCTACAAAATGCTTCACATTCCTTTTGACATATCATAATGAATATGATTATTTTCCTTTTTTACTGTAAAGTTGAAGAGCAAGCCTTAGACTCAAAGTACAGTACAGCTCTTGCTATTATATGACATCTAACTTGTATTCCAATAGTAATACTATGTACTGGTAAGATGAATTCACTTTTAATATTTTCACATTATTGACCTCACAGATTAGAACTTTTTGTAACCACAAAAAATAAAAACCCATATCCAGGTGGCAGTCATAAACTCTACACATCAGAAAGTTATTTGTTGGGCTGGGGATTTAGCTCAGCGGTTTGGTGGCCTGCCTTGCAAGCACAAGGACCCAAGTTCAATCCCCGGTACCAAAAAAAAAAAAAAAAAAAAAGTTATTTGCCTAACTGTGACTTTTATGTAGATTATTAGCAAAACACTAAAAATATATTGTATCATATTCCCCAACCTCTATACGTTACCCATAGTCAAAAATATGAGAGGCAAAACAAACTTGATGCTGTCATGGTAGTAGATTTAAAAAATTTAGTGCTAAAAAAAAATTTTTTTACTACTAATTTTCTTCCCAAATGCAGATGGTATAGAAGGGATTTTCCTGCCTCTTGGTTAAATAACAAAAAACAGTTCAGGTGAAAGTAGGAAGACAATGAGAATTAATCAAGGAGGAAAAATAAGAACCAACAAGTAATACTTATGTCATGGTAAGCAGGTGAGACAGAGGGCTTGCCACAGGGCTAAAGCTGGGAGAGGAAGTGACCTTCATTCATCCTGACAGTTCTCCAACCATCTGGATATTGTGTGAGAAGCTTTTAGTGTCCTCAGTACAGCATGGAAAGGATATGCTTTGGAATCCCTTGACAAAGTCTTTTAAGAGATTCTTCTGTATTTCAAACAGCATGAAAACATGAAAGAAAAAGACTGCTGGAGCTAGAGAGCCTTATTCTTGTTGAGACCATTTTAAAAAATCTTGGTCACCAGCTAGGCAAAATCTAATGTGACAGTCCCTCTCATAGCATCTGGGATAGACAGTTATTTTAAATTTTGGGCATTTGCAAAAAGAGGAAATTTTACTAGAGTTTATTCCTTTTTAGAACTCTTTAATAACTACTACTTCCACTTCTTCCTTTTCGTAGTTTAACAGAAATTTTGAGGCAGCTACTCTATCATTCCATCCTGCTCAGTACCTCCCTCCCAGCTATATCTTCTGTTCTTCAAGACGGCTGTTCTTATTCCTTTTATAGTCAGACTCTTCGCAACCATGGTCTCCTGCCTATTAACACAGGCAACTTATTAAGGTCTCTTAGAAAAGTATCTGTAACTGAACTCAATCTTCCATCTAGACAGGGAGTGACATACATCATATAGAGATTGCTAAATTTCTCTTAACACAGGTTGAATGAATTAGCTTTGATGGCTGTGATATACTTCCAATTCAAAACTGAACTCCCATTTCCCCAAGAAAACATTTCTATGAGTGGCTGTAAGGCCCATTCTTTCAACATCCTTCTCATCAACACACACACATAAACATAAATGTACATGCCTGTAGTCTGTATTTTAGAGAGTTACTTTTTAAAAACTTAGAATATAGTGTCTCACGAATGACTATTCAATCTCCTCCATTTAGTTTCGGGCTTATGCTTAGATACTTCAAAAGCATTGCAATGATTTCTATATCCTAGTGTTAGTAACATACTTAGAATTAATGAATATTCATTGAATCAATTAATCTTGATTCTGTCAATGAAAAATTTGATAGTTTCTACTTCTGTATTATCTATAAATCAGATAAAATGTCCTTTCTCTCCATTCTATTCATCATAAAACACCAAGGTACAAATAAAATGAAGAGAAAGAAGACTGACTGAATGTCCTGACTCTTGGAATCAGAAGTTAATGTTCACAACATTCCCCTGTAATCCCAGACTGCCTTTTAATTTATTACAATACTGTGATTATCAAGCTCTGCACCTGAGAGCTTATCCAAAGTTTAAAACAGCTTTTAAACTTTCCTTTTCAGCTTACATATCCTATAAAGTTTGCGTTAAAGAGACATGCAACAATCTATTGGCTATGAGGTACAAAAAGAACTCCCAAATGCCCCTGACAAATGCCCGAGGTATTCGTGTCAGGAATCAGAAGTGGCCTGTATTTTTCAGTGTGAATTTGGGAATTCATTGAGACTGAAGATGTCTCCTGAACGGAATATAATCTTACAGTTAATGTCCCTTTTCCACCAAATGAAGAGAAATAAGCCCGATTTTGCTTTCCTTTCAACAGAATGTGAATTCAACCCAATCCAACTACAGAAAGAAAGTACAATCACAAAATTTAAAAAATCCAGTTAGGCGGCCCTTTCTCGTTGTCGATAGAGACTCAGGATAACAAAACCTGTGACTGAAACCTGGGAGAAATGAAAACAAAAATGATTCAGTCTAAAGAATCTGTAATCCGGGGAGAAACATCTGGAAAGGTTCTGTGCATAGTGTTAACACTTAAAGAAGAGAGACATCTAAAGAAGGTTTAGTAGATCCAAAGAGGATATTTGTTTTGAACCTTTTCTGAGCCTTTAAAGAGGAAGTGACAGAAATGGACGCTTAATTAACTTTTCAAGATCAAATTCCAGAAACTCATAATGACAGATGAATATCAGAAAGAAATCATGCCCACGATGACACTGGAAGTACTTTTCTGGACTCTTTTCACAGTAATAACAAACCACATACTCGTACTGTGATACAGGCAGACGCGAGACATTAACTATACAGAAAGCTCCAAAGTCAGATGAACCACATGCTTCAGGCTTGATCATGGTCAAAAGCCTCTCCTAAGCAACCACCTCAGGAGTTTCTATTAAAAGACAGGAAACAGGAAGGTCTCTGATAGATTGTTCCCAATATGGAGTGGCCACAGCAGGTATTGACTTAAACTTCAACTATACAGGAAGCCACCCTAGCACGTGTAGGGTTTTGTCACTGTATCCCACACACCTTGGGATTTTCTGTTTCATCTCCTTCAAAGTCTGGTTTCAAACTCTTTCTTTGCTCAATTTCCACCTGCCAAAATAAAAGTTGGGAAAAATATCAGAAGGAAGAAAGAAGCAGCGAATAAACCAAAGGAGACCCTCAGAGTCTCCTTTTTCCAGATTCTTTGTAAGTTTGCTAATGTTCTGGGCATTAGCCACATTAGATTTGCTAGCCCTGAGTGTATCATGACTCTTTGCACATCCTCTTCACTGGGTGGGAATTCCCTCTTCCATGAATACCTCCCCCCCCCCAGTACTGGGGATCAAACTCAGGACCTTTTACTTACAAGGTAGGCATGGTGCTACTGAGCTAACTCCCTGGCCCCTATACCTGAAATACTCTCATTTCTTGCCTTGCAAATCATTCCAAGGTCTCTCTGCATGTGAATCATTAAGCAGACTGAGGTGCTTCCCCTGTGAACCTTTCCACTGTACCTGTATGCTTGTCTGACTCCACTGTTCCAGGCTGGCTTACCAAACAAATAAATTCCTTTGTAATTATTTAAACCTTCCCAAATATTTGTAACTGTTTTAGAAGCTTCCAAACGAAGGATTGCATATTTACAGTTCTATTGTTTCTTCTCCTAAACAGTCACTGTCTTTCCGGAGAAATCAATAAATTCTGGGAAATCAAATAATGCCTGGGAAATGACACACCTCAAGTGAAGCCTTTGGTAAATCAGTAAGGGAATCCTTTGAGAACAGTAATTTTATCAATAAGGTATCTCCTCTCATCACCTGGATATATTGCTCAATTTAGATAAAAAAAATGAAGATCAAACAAGGTCTATCATGAAGGAAGTGCTATTTTTTTCCTGACCACAAGATGGAACATTCGTTCTTTCTGGTAGTCAAACGTTTTGCCCACCAAGAAAACATTCAGAACAAATAAATCACCACATAAATGTAAGGGCATCATTGTGAATAGAAAATTCTCAAACCGCTTTTCAAAATCCTTCTTTAATCTTTTCTCTTGGGAAGTGGTTTATTGTGATCGAATCCAAGACCAACATAAATTATTGTAAGTAATAATCACTGATTTATCCCATTGTTCTTTTTGTTGTCCAAAATGACAGTGATATTATACTTCTACATGTAAGCCACTTTTTAAATTTTTTCTGACTTTTCATTTGTCCACAAGAAAGATTAGCCATAAAAATCAGAACAAACTCATTTATAGTTACGTACATGAACTTCCTCCAGTGTGGAAAGAGAATATTTTGCACCTATGTTAAGCACTGCTAAAAGGTGGAAGTGGGAAGAGTTGTGGGCTGAACAAATGGACTTGGAAAAATCAGCCAGATGCTGCTCAAGGCTACCTTGTAGCTGTAATGTGCAGAATAATTGACCCACTTCCTGACGTCAGTCTTGTCTTCCACAGAGATGGATCTTACAGCAGTTTTGGAGGCAGAAGTCGTGGGCATGCTGAACTCCACATTCACATGATTGGCAAAGCTGGAAGGCACTTCCCGGTCAGAGCCAAGTTCAAGGTGGCAAAAGAAACAGTGTGGGTGGCCAGAAGCTATGAAAGAGAGAAGGAATCCAGAGATCAGCTTCTTTGGGGTTGAAGTCAAAGAATTAAAAAATAGAGCCACCTCATTAACAAAGGAGACCACAGTCTTTAGAGGTTCCAGAGCTGAGCAGAGGATTTTCTTCAGCTTTATGTGCCTTACACCCGTTGATATGACATCATTTTATTACCACAGTCTGGTATCCTAGCAATAAAACCCACAGCCTAAGAAATAGGCCACTCTCTGGTCAGAATGATACGTAGATACAGGACAACAACTAAGAAAATGGGACTACAGATTGGAAAAACAGAAAAGGATCAGTACTAAGCATCTAATAAAGCATCAGTGACAACGACCTGAAGCAAAATTATCGCTTTCCTTTGACAGATGAATTTTCTTAATAGCTTTCCATATTTTCAGCATTTTTGTGAGTGAATGATACACGTTCATGAGAAAAACATTATAGACAGCACACACACACAGTACTAAGGAAGCAGGTGGTACACTGGACAGAACACCGGATGATCCACATTCAGAGCACCCTGAACTGACCTCCCATTCTCCTACTAAGCAGCAGATTCCATACTCCAGTCCTCTGCTCTCTCCAGACCTCCATGCCTCATGTGTAAAGACATGGTGGGGTTGGCCAGGGATTTAGCTCAGTGGTTCTGATGCCTGCTTAGCAAGAGCAAGGACCCAAGTTCAATCCCCCGTACCAAAAAAAAAAAAAAAAAAAATGGCGGAGCAAAGAAGTGGGGGGA